TTTAACAATATTAAGAATCATGTAGATATGGAGACAATGCACTTCTCACGTCCTGGTGTGTATTGAAGGAAGTCAGGACGAGTATGCCCCTCAAGAAGGGAAGGCTTGTCTCTGGAAGGCGCGTAGTGCTCGTCTTCTGCACAACTGTTCTGGAGGTCCGCCCGGTCTGGAATCCTCAGACACAACTTTATTGAAGGAAGTCAGGACGAGTATGCCCCTCAAGAAGGGAAGGCTTGTCTCTGGAAGGCGCGTAGTGATCGTCTTCTGCACAACTGTTCTGGAGGTCCGCCCGGTCTGGAATCCTCAGACACAACTTCTCCGTGTAACTGTCTGGCGTGGAATCCCCCTCTAGTGCGGCTTCGGACCCCTTTTAAAGCTTGTTCATGCCCTCGGGCTTATTTCAAGCCCATCACATAACCATTGAAAGGAAGACGAAGAAAATGGAGAATTTGTCATGCCCAAGTAGGGTAGACTGGGACTGTCAGGAAAGCTTTTCCATTTGCTCCTCTTTTCCTCGTCGTTCTTGAGGAAGTTTTTTTTATATATATATATTTAAAAAACCTGGATTGATTCATAGGCAAGTTAGTTTTTAAATTGATGAATAATGACAGCTGAGAGAATGACTGGAAAAGTTATGAGAATTTTTGTATGGAAAAGGAGTGGAAAAGGAACTAGCAATCGGTTCCATTATTTGCCCCAGCAAATTAACTCACTACCACTGAAATCATAAATGTTTTTAGCTACTGTAATGTAATGATTCATTGCAGCCCAACCCTACTCATTCAGTATGCCATATCTTGCATCCCTTAAGAAACTTCATGGTGCTTGTGCACACGGGTGTAAGTTGAAGGAAATGAAATATCAATGCTAGCTTATTTCTATAAAGTTGAGCATTTTATTGAACACTATTTGAAAAATGAAAATCAAACAAGAACCATCTTGGCAGAAGAGGATTCTCTGCAATAGGCTTAGATCACATCATCTTTATTATTTGCTACATGTCTTGTGTGGTCTCAGTGTCACTAAATCCAAAACTTTCTTGAAAATAAGTCAATACACTTCTTGCTGCCCAAGCACTTTACATTGGGGTAAAATATATTTTGTCAGAAAAATCCACAAATCCACCAAGAAGTGATTGATGTCATGGACAGCATTTGACAGGAGATGAGATTGAAGACAAAGGTATTTCATTGTCAATTCATCCAACTTAGAACAACATTGAAATGAAGGAGACATGGAGTTCCATATGAGAGGTCACATAGCAAACTAATAAAATATCAAAGAGTCTGCTTCACAATGAAGCTCAGATGGGCCAAACAAAAAAGGTTGATGGTTGTCATGACTGATGTTGCTGATCTCCCGGCTGCTGAGGGAGCAAACGGGCAAAACAGCTCAAGAGGGTCACATGCTGGTTCTGCAATGTATCGTACCTCTAAAAAAAAGACAAAAAATCACCAATCATCATCTTTAAAATGCTCCTCATTAAATTTGAAGTGAAATTCATCTAACACCTCATGCCTACTACTACAAAAGTAACCAACAGGGATGGTACAACATTGTTAAGAGAGATGATTATGCTCTTGCAAAAGTCAAATAAATTAGGATTATTAATGGATATTGAGTATTATGATTATGCTATTCTCACTGGTGTTATATGATAGTGAACTTTGACTCTTAGTTCCTTCTTAACAATTTCATTTTCTGACATAAATGAAGTTAAAATAATAAAAAACTTGGGATGCTTTGGGTAATGCAACTCACATCCTGGAGTTGTGACAGAAGTAACATTTGCTGTTTCAATTGAGATTCCAGTTTTCCTCTGCTTTCCACTTCTCTCTGCAAAGTCTCGCTCAGCTGGAAAGAAACATACTTCGAGAATTTAGAGCCAACTTTCACCCTGAAAGGCTAAAGGCAATCTGGATATGATGCCACTGAATTTTTATGTGGCAATGCTCCTGTGATGCTGCCCCCAATCCTGACACATGTAGGCAACCTCAGACTGTAAGTTGAATTTGACATCCCACACTTTCATAGCAAAATAGGAAGAAAAGAGGAGTTTCCCTTACACTTCTGGAATGTATGACATGCCTTCATGTGGACCACAAGAACCTTTTTTTTTTTCTTGGCCAATAATAGGCTCTCAATTGTGAGAAGGCTTTTCATTGTCATTTGCAACACAAAGCAAATAAAGATGTCTCAAATATGCAACAAAATGGGGCCCAAAAATCACAAAAATAAATTACTGTGCCTCACATTAGTTGTCCTCTGTTGGTTATGACCATATGAGAATTTGCAGAGTTATTAAGCTTAAAGCATTCTAGTAGACTTTCTAGTAGTAGAAGTTTATGTGACCTACAAGGACTGATTCAGAGAACAGGCTGAGGGTTAAAAGATCAGGGGTTCTTTGAAGACTGACAATAGAGCAAAGAAAGTCCCCAATCATTTCATATCAACTTTGATTATGACTGCTCCTTCTAAGTTTTACATTTGAAAACTGAGAATAATAAAACTGCACACTAACCAAAGTATGATTTTATGAACATTGAAACCAAGAGACTTTAAGGTTTGGTTGATCCAGTTGTTTAATTTTTTTCATGACTCTTTCAATAGAGGAAGCAACAAAGCTTGGAACCCGTAAGCATGCATCCTAAAGCAAATAAACTTTCAAGTTTAAACTTATTGATGAATGAGATGTAGTTGGACAATACATGTTCATATTTTTCACAAGAAGTTCAAAATATCCTTTAACCCATTTGTAGTCAAAGCAGCCAGGGTGAAAACCTTTGGTTCCTTGGGAGCAACTGTCCTGGACACCAAGGTGCAACAAGAAAAAATTGCAACATAAAAGTGTGATATTGCAGTTAGTTATGAGGATGGACTTCACTATTTCTGACCAAATTTTCTGCCTTGATGTCAATACTTACAGATTAAAGTTTTCACCTTCTATGTCAAGCACAACACATGGATCATGAATGACTTCAATGGAGGGAAGCAGTGAGATGGAAAGCAATTAGAAAAATTGACATGCTAAAAAACCATCAGAAGCAATCTTCCATCCACTGCTGCATGAAGGCCACACTATCCATATGCAATTTGATTCCATTCTGGATTGTTTCATTACATTTGTGCCACCTGCTAGTATGCATGATATTCAGAACTTTAATTTGTTCCCTGATCCAGGATACCTTTTATTCTCTCTCGTGATAATTCCCAGCATTAAATTTTCCATGCTTGTCTACATGACCTTTAGCTCCTTTTCCTTCTTTGCAAAGTACCTAGTATATGGTTCACATATCATGACAGGCAAGAAGCACTGATTACAGGCTTCCCTTGACAAATATATCCTTATCTCACTCATCATGATTCTTCATCTTCTCAGAGGAACTCCATACAACTTGTTTTTATCCTGCTTCCATCACTGAAGTCATCAAGACTTGATAAGCTATCCAAGGTACACACATTACCTTGTTGACCTTCAAAGAAACACTCCCTTTTAAGGATAGAAACTTGTATGACCCTGTTTTGAAATGAATGAAACTGGAAAGGTACAATCATGCCAGGAAAGTTTAAGGATAGGATCCAAACTAAAAGTGTTATTTTCATCAACTTGCAATGGTCAATGGCATGTTGTATCAGCAAAACAACCCACCATGAACCAAATGATCCTAGGTCACGAGAAAATATTTATAGGGTGACCCCCAAAAAATGTCCCCCATTAAAAATGCCTGTCATTTCCAGTAAAATGCATATTTTCTTTTTATTTTCAGGTGAACTAGAAATCAAGCCCCCTACATTTTGTTTTGACTTCATGAATTGAGAAATTCAGGATTCCTTGTAGGGGGAGATCAAAATATGCTTTCACTATATTGATGATGAACATTCTTGGAAACTAGCTGCATAAAAATATATTTACCATGTTAAAATGAAGCTAAAAAAGCAGAAATTTCCCTGGAATAATCTTTCCTAGATAATTAGGTAATATGCTAATTATATAATTAGAATGAAGGACTGCACCATCCTTTCATTATCCAAGTTTTAAGATGTGGTGCAACTTCTTGATCAATTTCGAGTGGTCATGGGAATTTCTAGTGGACATCATCCACTTATCCTTCTCTGGCCATTTGATGACCAACTAATTTCTTTGCTTCAGAAGTTTAAGACATACCTTCATCTGCTCAATTGTTAGTGTCTGTACTGCATTCAGAAGTTCTCCAATGAACCCTCCTATCGATGGAGATTGAGAGACTTCAGGTTTCTTTGGTTTCTTGTGCAATCGGGTGTCAATGTCCTCCAGTGTCTGGAAGTTGAAAAAGGAACCTTATGGTGAAGGAAATCTATAGCATTTATGCCTCTGCTCTTCCAGCATATGAAATAAAAATTATTAGGACACCTTTTCTTGAGTTTTATTCAATTTCATTTCCTGGCAAGTCCAGATTAAGAGGGAAAATAGCCAAGGGGACTTGAGAGCTTGCCTTTATCAAGAGGAGCTATAGAATAACAGCATTTGAATTAAAAGGAGAATTATAATATGGGTTCTACACAATTTTTGGTTTTGCCAATCTTCTGATCTGAATCAATAATAGCATTAGATAACTGATGGTTGGATGTATCAGAGTTGACAGCAATTCAGTTGATAAAAGTTATTTAATATTCAATAAATGCTCAGCTCTGGTGAGAAGACATGGTCTTTTTTCCGTTAAAAATTACAAATTATGTTAACATTTTTGCTGAAATTGAATAGAGTGAGAAAAAGAAAGGCAACATACCTACATGGCCATTCCCTCTAGAATATGAAAGCCCTGTATAGTTGTGGACATAGTGCATAGGTCAAAATGTTTTGAGGTGTCCTAATTTAGGGCATTAAGAATTCCCTGTGGTTTTCATTTCCAACTTTTTTAAAACTTGGCTAAAGCAACTAACATGGACCAACTCTCACCAAATTCATCAAGGCAACTGAGGAACCACATGTTGACTCTCTAGTCTGAATACATGAATACATAAGTAAATGCAAGGGGTGTCTGAAAAGTTCCTGCAAACATCTAATAAAAACAAAACCATTGTTTTTATCATTACTAAAAAAAGTTACACAGAAACATCACACATCCCTTAGCCTTCTAAATAATCACTGTTCAAATCTATGCACTAGTGACATCTGGAGATTGTATTGGTGATTGTACACTCCTTCAGTAGAAGTGTGTATCTTCTTGTTGTAGGCAATGTCTTGCAGCATTTTGAAGATCTTCACCACTCGTGAAGTGTATCCCATGAAGATGGTCCTTCAACTCTCCACACTTATGATAGCTGGAGGGAGCTATGTCTGGGCTATACAGTGGCAACAGTCCCTTGAAATTTGACAATAACTTTCATTGTCTTGAATGCCAGCTAGAACAAGATACAGGCTTTTACTGAATGGGTATACAATCATTGCCCATCAGATGGCAGAAGTGTATATATATTCAAATAATGATTTGAGGATTAAGGGAGGTGTGATATTTCTTTGTACTGATTTTTGTAGCAATAAAAACTGGTTCTTTTTATTTGATGTTAGCAGAAACATTTCAGAAACCCATGTAATAGCCACATAATATTTATTTTCCTCCATGAGTGGAGTAATAATGCCTAAATCAGTGACACCTAAAAAAATTTTAAATTTAAATGGGCCTTGTATTGTAGAAAAGAGAATAAAAAAAAACTAGATTCAGCTCAGACCTGCTTTAGATCTAAAGACAAGATTAACTAGCTCCACCTCTGATAAATATAAATTTGAGCACCATTTGCATAACTTTCACAATGTACAAGGGTGATATAGGAAACTGGAGCATTTCACCCCCAGGCTGCTGCTTCCTCACCTTTTGGAGATGTGGAAAGGTGAAACAGTCATTCACAGGTGAAACATTTTCCTTTTCAGTGACAGGATTTATGTCACCTTAAAATGAAAATACAAAAAGACAAGTTGGTACAAATAGTACAATAGGCTCTGGAGATATAGATCTTTAATGCTAGTCATTGAGTCATTTGGAGCTGGAATCAGCTATAACACTTTCACTGCCTGACCTTTAAAATGGGAACATTGCTTGATTGCTAGAGTTTTTCAGGGTCTGCAAAAATTTGTGTAATGTTTTATTTTAAAATTACAGGAAGAAAATTCACAAATTATCCAGAGATGAATGCCCTGTGGAGTTATTTTTGCTTAATTTTCAAATAGACTTTAGTTGATGATGGCATTCTTAGCACAAGTTTTGTAAATAGACCAGTTGACTTCAGCAGTGAATGTGTTAATACTGGGCTGGTGGAGAGGTTTACAGTTTGCACCAAGGCAGCAAAAATCTTTCGTTAGTATCAGATAATGGACAATAGGTACATTACTTGATAACTGATAATGCAAACATTGAATATCTTGATATCTCCCAAAATTATTTATTTACTTCTAATTTTAGTAATTAACTCAACAATATGTGTTTCATGCATATGATTCTGATATAGAGCATCTATTTCAATGAATATCTGATTAGGATAGCCAATGGTTCAACAGATAATTGGTGAAATTTGTGATTAAAAATTCAAAAGAAGGTGCAATAGATCCTATCAGATATAGAGTATTGGTTGGAGAGCATGAGAGCACTTGTCCTGTAGTACTGGGTACTCTCTCCCTAAACTGAATAGAAAAGAAGGCAGAATTTGGACAGATGTAATGTACCACAAAAGTAAATATCAAAAGCAAAGAAAACATCATTGCAATCATAGTTAACGCATTCACACATGCTCACACAAAAGTATTATTGATACATTCATATCAATTGATGCCCTTCTGTAACTGTACAGGAAAATAGAGGCCTTTCTCACATTTGACAGGATGATGGAAAAGTTATACTCTGCTGCAAAAAATTGCCTTAAGATACCAACCAAGCATCAAAGTCCTTATATCTTTAGACATTAAACTTACAAATGCAGATTAAATCAAAATGCAATCTATGAATGACATCATCAAGCAAATGAAATACAACACAGAATTGAACAATAGACAAAGACAGCTTGACAATGACATGAAAACTGACGTTTGTTGGGGATGTTGACCCTAGTGAAATGTGGATTAGAGGGAAGAAAGTTTTTCCCCATGGAACTGTTGTGACTCTTGAGACTAAGGACAGCTGATTCCTGGCTCATGACTGTGTGGCTCACATTGATCACCTGGGCTGAGCGTTCCAAAACTTCTTCCAGGCCATAAATTCCACCACCCTAGGTCAGTCACAATCAGGCAAGGAATTAGAGCACTTTCCTCATGGATTATTGCCTTCTTCCAAGTTTTATTTAAATATAAAAATCAAATGTGACACTTTTGTTACATTAAAAACTCATGCAATGATATGGCTACTGGTCATCACTCCTTGGATGAGACCTCTCAGATATCAATTTGCTACACACACAAAGCAGCATGTGAAACATCAGTAAGAACTAACAATCAGATTTGTATCCAAGTTAGCACTTAAATAGCCCTTCAAATGGGACTGGATGATACTCTGCATACATCATATAAGTGAGACATGATCTGACTGAATAAAATGTAAAACTGAGACAAGAAACAGCTTGCACACAGATAGCTGAAAAGTAAGAATAACCACCCAAGCCTACAAATTTCTTTCTCGTGAAATTTTGAAGGGCAAATTAAGCAAGAGACTATATGATACCCAAATCAGATTACATGAATGCTTGCTTGGGTGATGTTCATTGAATCCTTTCAATACATTTCTCTTCACCATATTGGCCAAAAAGTTTTATTAAAGTATATGTTCCAGTTTCTAAGTCCAAAGGAGGAGATACCAAGTCAATTTAAAATGAATTTTCATTTGTACTCAAACTTATTTTCTCCTATGGTCTCATTATCTCTTATTTGAGGTTTTTTTCTTAATTGCTTGATAAAATAATAATCTATATGTATTGCTTGGAAGAGATGCTTCCAGAAACACACACTAAGCCAAATCCTTTGCTAATCCCATCATATCTTGGAAGTTTGCATTCTTACCATGTCAAATTTGATCAGCTACACCAATGTTCCCTTTGGTTGAGTCACAATGTCAACTGGCAGTGGTTCAGCTCTATCTGATTTTCAATTGAGTCACACATTACACTTCTTTAAAATTTTAGGTACCATATGACCCACAAGTGGGTAATATGCCCACTGTCCCAGGAGGCATGAAGAAAGGGCCTCACAGCTGCTATGTTCATAATGTTCTAGGTCTCACATATTCATGATAATGAAGAACAAATTTATTTTGCTCTTCCTCTAAATCTTAATGTCAGTACCTTGGATGGACCTCTCCTGACATGAGATCAGGGATAAACATTATAACTTTCAAATCATAAGAGTAGCAAAGGAGTGGGAAAGCCTTTTTACAATATATTAAAACACACTATAACAAGACTTTCAGGAGTGGACTTAGGTAAAATATAATTATCATTAACTTCTACAGATCCAGCTTTCTGAATTCACTGGGTGCATTCAGTTGTGACCTGGGTCATGACTCGAGGTTCATGATTCTCGGCAGGTACAGTGCTTTTCAAAAACTATTATACCCAGGATGGATGACATTGACAAGAGGTGTCACCATGGAGTAAAATTTATTCTGAGGCCACAATGCAAGCATAGAACTGAGACCCTCGAGTCATGACTCGGGTCACAACTGAATGTGCCCACTTTTTCACAATGATCTGGTTCAATAAGGATACTATAACAGGTCACATACTTGGATTGACTTCAAGTGGTTGATGTACCATGGATCTTTGGCGATTCTTTCAGCAAGTGTTTTGGGATCTTGCCTCCCTTGAAAAGAGGTCAGCTGGAGATGAGCAAGGGTTGCATGTGATGACATACGTTCTGACCTCCTCTTTGCAATTTCTTCTCTAGTCATTCTAAATTGTGTCTGATCTGTGACTGTACCCTGCAAATGCCAATTTGAGCTCATGATGAGACATTTTCAATAAACTACATGAGGTCACTACAGAGAGTCTGACTTAATAGACAAGTAAGGAAAAAAGAACACACATCCCAAGGCACCTTCTTGAGCTTGCAAGAAGTAGCTATGCTCAAATTTCCCAATGACTTTGATCTGAATTTTAAGCCACTTGGAATGCCTTGGGACTTCTTGACTGTCTTTCTCTCCTGGAAATAAACACAATTTAAAATGCATCATCCAAAGCATGAATGCTTTTAATAAGTAATATTAAACAAGTAACCAATCAGTGAAAAATGCAATGAAGGACGATTATCAGAAAACTCACATTCACAGGCATCTTCCTGAGATTGAATGATTTATCAGATCTTGTGGCTGCATGTAGGTTCCCCAATGACTTTGATCTGACTTTCAAACCACTCTGAACACTACTACAGGAACCTTGGGCCTTCTTTATTGCATTTCTTTGCTGAAGACTTGTGTTTTTTGAGGGTCTGGTTCTTCCTGATTGCCTCCAGGGTCTTACATTTTTTGGCTTGGGAATTCCTTGCTCCCCATACTTTGGGGTTACTTCCATAATACCCATTCAAAACCTTGAACTACTGTAGGGTATAGTTCAAGGGCAAAGATGACTTCAAAACTTGATGGTGAGGTTCAAACAGAGCTCCTTTCCCTAAAGGCCTAAGCCATGAATACATCGATGATCTATATGGAAATGAGCAACTGAGTAAAATCCTATGGATGTAGACTCTTTCTCCAACAGCAACATTTCTAACCTGGCAACCAACATGAGTACTATTAATTAGTTTTTTTTGGAAGAAAGAGTACGTTAGACTGAAGACATGCTGAATTAAGGAATGCTCCAGAGAGAATGAGTTGGTTGAGTTATGTATTTGAATGGGAGGAAAAGGATATTCAACAGTTAAAACTTCTAACTAAAATCTTCAAACTGAAGTAAACAATAGTCTTTCCAATATGGATTGGTTTTCCCACTCAAAAACTCTCAGATTAGGGTTAAGGATTCAGCTGGGAGAATAATGAAACACTACTGTTTCATATGAACTTTGCACTTTGCCCAGACCTGGCAAACAAAAGGTAGAGCCTTCAACTCTTCCATTCCCAAAGTTGGTCATTAACCCTCGGAACACCAAGATCGGGTCAAAATGACCCGATGGCCAGTCCTCCAAGGTTCCGTTGGATCGTTTCTTTTTTTGGTATCTACTTGGGAAATAAATACATAAATATCTTAAAAAGGTATGTGTAGCTTCTATTCTTATTTCTTTGCTGAAGACTTGTGTTTTTTGAGGGTCTGGTTCTTCCTGATTGCCTCCAGGGTCTTACATTTTTTGGCTTGGGAATTCCTTGCTCCCCATACTTTGGGGTTACTTCCATAATACCCATTAAAAACCCTGAACTACTGTAGGGTATAGTTCAAGGGCAAAGATGACTTTAAAACTTCATGGTGAGGTTCAAACAGAGCTCCTTTCCCTAAAGGCCTAAGCCATGAATACATCGATGATCTATATGGAAATGGGCATCTGAGTAAAATCCTATGGATGTAGACTCTTTCTCCAACAGCAACATTTCTAACCTGGCAACAAACATGAGTACTATTAATTAGTTTTTTGGAAGAAAGAGTACAATAGACTGAAGACATGCTGAATTAAAGAATGCTCCAGAGAGAATGAGTTGGTTGAGTTATGTATTTGAATGGGAGGAAAAGGATATTCAACAGTTAAAACTTCTAACTAAAATCTTCAAACTGAAGTAAACAATACTTCCCAATATGGATTGGTTTTCCCACTCAAAAACTCTTAGATTAGGGTTAAGGATTCAGCTGGGAGATACATGAAACACTACTGTTTCATATGAACTTTGCACTTTGCCCAGACCTGGCAAACAAAAGGTAGAGCCTTCAACTCTTCCATTCCCAAAGTTGGTCATTAACCCTCGGAACACCAAGATCGGGTCAATATGACCCGATGGCCAGTCCTCCAAGGTTCCGTTGGATCGTTTCTTTTTTTGGTATCTACTTGGGAAATAAATGCATAAATATCTTAAAAAGGTATGTGTAGCTTCTATTCTGAACAAAAACCTCATTCGTTACGAGAAATATATGTGTCAAAAATGACCCGATCTTGGCGTTTCGCGGGATGCAAATGATCTTGGCGTTCCAAGGGTTAAAAGCTATTACACTCTAGACTGAAGCAGCCACAGCAAACCAAAATGAGATATGACAGCACCAGAATCCTATAAGTTAAGAACTGTTCAAAAGAATAATGATTTGAGCTTTCACTGATGCTGGTGGTAACTGAAACTATCATCCATAGATCTAAAATTTCAACTGAACCCAAATGGCTCTTGGAACAAGACCTTAGAATCATTCTCATTCCTTATGCCACTATCACAGGAATTCATCTTTTGCTGAGAACTCCTGCATGCCCCCATGGAAGAGTGTCTTTATTGTGTAGACAGCAGACCTTACACCAATATTAATGAGGGTGGCCATCCTGTATTAAGTGGCACTCCCATTAGCTTCCAAAGAGGAAGGGTAAATGGCACTCCTAAATTTTCCCTAATTGCATTTTAACAAAAGATGCTGTTTAAGAAACTTCTTACAATTTACCACATCTGCTCCAGGTATTGTGAATGGTTGGAGCAGGGGGGAAATCCTATTTGGCTTACAAAGCCGGAAATTTGCTGGCCACTATGGTGAAGCCCATTCTTACAAAACTGGCAATCTGCTGGTTGTAGCCAGCTACTTGTTTCCATAAGAAGTTCATGCTTTTCTCCAAAAGATAGCAGTGCATCTTACAGCTGAAGTTCTGAGCTATCAAAAATCATAATTGGTACAAATTTAGTGCTTGGAAAAAAATAGGCCAATTAAAGGTTAAAAGGTTTCAGTGGGAAATGGTGAATTATTCAAGAAATTTACTTTAGTCCAACATTTCTAATATTCCCGTCCTTTTAAAGATCCACTTTCATCAATGTAGCCTCTGCAGCAGAAAATGTGGAAAGTTTGAAATAAAGCTATGTAGCCCAGTGGAGGGAGAGGCAGAGGAGAAAATAAAAACACTGAGCCATTTACATCCGTTAATTTTCATTTCCCCATTCCATGTTTGTTCTTTTTATGATTCTAACGTTAGGCCTGTGGAATAAATGTTGCTGGCGACTGGCACAAGGTTAGTTCTAACCTTTGTAAAATTCCACTACATTCAGGAACTGGTTCAGTCAACAGAATCGACTAGTGGTGACCAAGAAATCGTCAGGGTTACCGATGATAATTCCACAATTCATGCTTCGTATTTAGCCCAAAGCTAAAGGCTAACCCAATAAACATACACTTGAGCTGGGGAAGTAGGCCTAGGCTGAAGTGAGGAGACGAACTACGCTGTATGGCTCAGCCCCTAACTTGAACCTAACGTAAACTTAGATCACGGTATATGACGGTGAACGGTGAACAATTCAAAGAGTGCGTTAAACTACGTGCTGACTCGCCAGACACAAATCAGCCAAGGATATTACTGGGTGCACACTATACACACCGTATCCCCCCCCGGTATTTCAAAGTGACGCGTTCCGCTTCGTCTGCTAAGGGGCTGGAAACGGGCACGTGATTCGCTCATAGGGGTGTCGACTGCTCAGGGTGGAGTTTATCGTTGTTTCGTTCTGTTTATTGGGGCTGAAAAGGAAGATACAAATGACCATATAGTACGTACAGGCAGAGGGAGGGCAACAGTGCTAGTGATGGTTGCCCTGAGAGAGAATAACACGTAGTGAGTTGAAAACACACTAACGTCCGGCTGCAGAGGTAAGACTAGGTCTGAAGCCTAATTTTGGAATCTCGAATGCGATGTTCTTCAAGCCGATTCGGGATGAGCCTGCAGGGTTGGACTGGCCCATAGGAATATCGGAAAATTTCCCAGGGGGACACCATGGTCTGTGTTATGGTTATGGTTCGGAGGCCCTTTGTCAGCAATTTCCCTGGGGGGCAGTGGCGGATACCGGGGGGGCGACCGCCGCCCCCCCCCCCCCCCTCCCATGGCCAGGTTGGGATTGGATTTATTTATTCAAAATAGCATCTGCTTTAAATTTTATTGGAGCCAGTGAAATAGATACTCAAGTCCTTACCCCAAATAAAAAATAAAATAGGCGAAAGGACGAGGAATGGTGGTAGGCAGGGGGGGGGGGAACTTCGGAACCCTTTGAAAAATTTCTGTATCCCCTGCTGGGGGGCCCTAGGTCACCAGTCCGACCCTATAAGCCTATATGACCTGCAGGAAGGCAAAATCGCGAAGATGTGTATTTCATATTAATTCTTGAAGGAAGATTTAAAGTTTTCAGATCGATTTGGCAATCCTTTTATTTACGGAAACCTTTTACAGAGAACTAGAAACGCAATGGGTTGAGACTTCCCGATCTGAGTTCACAACATGGATGAAGTGGTGAAGGCAAATTACTCCTTAATATTGAATAATGCTTTTGGGTGAGAGACTTCCCGCCAAAGCTAGGCCCAGTCTTCACATGCTAAGCTGCACAACCCTGTCCAGAGCGTCATTGCCTTTGCTAACAATTTAAATGTTTTCTGGGACCAGTTCGCCGTTTAATGTCTTTCAGCGATTGAAGAACCCTTAAGATTCGCCAACTGGTCCTTTTCGGGAGTAAAATATGCGAAAATGGATGCACAGTGAAAGTGAGGGTAGAAACAGAGGGGAAAAGTCGTGAAATTCCACCTCGAAAGGATCCCATATTCGCCATACGAGCCGCATTCATAACATAACAGATCACTTAATCCCTTGCATCAGCGTCAGATATTTTAATTCCTTTAGCGCGGAATCCCACAATCAAAAAGGACGGTGTTTTTCCGCATCCTGGAGCAACGGCGGAACGAGGCTGCCCCTCCCTTTGCATGCATTACATCCTATCCTATGGAGGACCGAATATTTATGCATTCTTGTTCTACAGTGACAGCGAACAGACGTTACATTCCAGTGTTGACCCCATCATATTTCTCGGTGACTCTTGCCTTGCGTTTAAGAGTCTCAGAGGTCAGAATGTGTGGAGTTCAGCACTTCACACTCGCTTTATAGTTTCTAAGGCCTCCACTTTTAATGCTTTAAGCCTTTAGACTTTGGTCTGTAACATAGTACAGAGCAAGGCAAGTTCCATTCGATTACCGTATGAAAGACGATCGCGAATCTGTGAAAGCATAATTTTCTTCTTTTAGACCAGGTGACAGAAGAGTGTTACCCAAAAACTCTCACTTCTCACTCGACTTTGTGATTGACAGCAGAGTTGCGGTAAAGGATGAAGCTCAAAAGTTACGCCTGGTAGGGAAACACAGGTGAACCTCGTTACTAAATTGCAACGAAAACGCAATCATAGTCTGTCATTTTTATTACTCCTTCCGAAAATATATGCAGTCACCTTCCCTTTTGGAAAGAGATTTCAGAAGCCGAATTTTTTAAAACTCAAAATTGCACAGATGTTTTCAGTAGCTACTTGATAATCACATAACCGCATTTCCATTGATTTTCCCGACATTGCAATTAATTTTATATGATATGGTTTGTATATGGTAATCCAACGTCTCTTTCATCCTCACCTAGGTTTCAGAGTGGCGATCGTGTTACAGCCAAAGGGAAGGCGCACGCAGACGGCTGAAATCTCGCAGAGTATAAATAAGTCTGTCTGTGAGGATGGCTGCGATCGAGCACGGTCACTGCAACCCGCTCGCATTCACGAGGCGGAAAAGGTGAGTTCCTAGCCCGGCCGAGA